ATAACAAACACTGTAGGAACTGGGAAGTAAGGGACTGACAACTGGAGAGCAGGGGTGGGGCATACAAGAGTATGACAAGGAGTGAACAGATGCGGTTCGCTGATCAGTACAATGCACCCTTGCCCTCACCACATGGCTATACAAGATGATTAATAATACCGATGAAAACTCAGGTGCCTAACTTTAATTCTTTCATAAAAGTGTCTCAATTTTTTGTTTATTAAGTGTTTTTATTAGTACAATAAAACAATTTATTGGAAAAAGCAGTCCATCTAGTCCAAAGGATAATAATAAAAAAAAGGTTTTAGGCTTCTAATATGTATATTCTATGTCAACATGCACTTATACACACATATACACACACACATATATATATACACATATATATCCTCTTCAGTCAGTGATTTTAAAAAGTAAAAGAGAACCCTCAAGCTTATGTTTCTATAAATTCTACATAGATGCATAAATAGCAAGAAAGTGAAAGAAATTGTCAATATCAAGAAAATTGATACAGTGTTAAGTGTTTTCTTAGTCTTCATTATTTCCTGAACACAAGTACATTCAAAAGAGTATCTGTATGATGAATCTAGTCAAGATACTGCTCCTCTTTCTTCATAGCCTTAATTTTAAACACAACCTAGATTTAAAAGACTTTATACTTGTTATATTACTCTATAAACCAAAGATTTCTTATAACTTTGATATTAACTTAGAGCAATTCATAATTATGAGTATGTTTTTTAAAAATATAAGACATAAATAAAAGTAAACAGGCATCTAGTCGAAATGGTACAATAGGTAAATATTATACTCCCTTCCAGGACCACATCAAAACTACAACTAAATTACAGAACAACCATCCTTAAGCTAGCTGAACATAACTCCTAGAACTAAGGATATAAAGAAGCCATGATGAGACTGGTAGGAGGGGCAGAGATGTGAAATGGGCAGGCCCCTTTCCTGTGGTGTGGTAATTAAGAAATAGAAGTGATATCTTGACAGCAAGGGGTCCCTGAAGAACAAGGGGTCCCAACCCCACACCAAGCTCCCTAGTACAGGGCTCCATTACTGAGTGCCAGCAGTGGGGCAGTCCTTGACAAGCACTGGGAAGATACAGGTTGGAGCTAAATTTATTAGCATCAGCGTGAGGGCAGGAGGCACAGGGGTTAGGGCAGCTCAAACTGGTGACATAAGTGTTAGAAGATACCTGTTTCTTTGTTGAGGCCTTCTCCATCCAGCCTGCAAGCACAGAGGGGCACCATATTGAGCTCTCCATTAAACTGGTGAATACCAATAGTCCAGCCCTGGCGATTCCTTAAGACCCCACCCCAGCCAACTATGCTACCATCTAGATTTTTTCCATAAAAAATGCCTAACTCAGTTTGCACTGTAAACTTTCCTAAAATGTCTCAAAAGTTCACAAACCCCAAACAAGCAGTGTCAGGCCTCAGTATGTACTAAATCTCTTGCTAAGTGACTTTAATCCTGGTCCTAGTGGCAGCAACTCTCAGTTCTCAGCTTAGCCTCTCTCAGGTGCCTTCAAGCCTAGGACAGGCAACAATCATCTGCAGATCATTTAGAACCTCCTACCAGGTGGCCCCGAGCTATATACAGGCAGCAGCTGACATTGGCCTGCACCAGAGACCCTCTTCCCAAAAGGCCCCAGAATGAACTGACCCAGTAGCAGGCTTCAGACCATAATAGAACACCACCCAAGTAGCTTCACAAATGACTATCCTAAAAGGCAAACTCAGCAAGCACCAGAGCTCTGCTGTTTTACAGGGGTCAGCCCCTGTAAAACAGCTCACTCACTGTAGTCATGGCCATTCCTCATAGCCAGACAGCCTGAGGGTCATTCACTCTCACAGATATCACGACATCAATCAAAGCTCAACTACAACAGGAAGAAACACAGAACCCACAAAAAGGACACACTTGGAGCATCCAACCGATCAGGTGACCACGGAGACTATGCCACTGGGCCCCACAGGACATCTACTATAAAAGGCTACTCTGCCAAGATGAGGAGACATATTACATCTACCTAATACATAGAATAAAGAGAGGGAGTCAACCAAGACATAGAAATATGTTCCAAGTAGAAGAACAAGACAGAACTCCAGAAAAAGAACATGCAGAGTTCCAAATACTGGTTATAAAGATGCTCAGTCAGCTTGGGAAAAGAGTACATGAATTCAGTAAGAACTTCAAGAAACAGATAGAAAATATTAAAATGGAGATAAAAACCATAAAAAATCCATCAGAAATAAAGATTACAATAACTGAAATGAAGAAAACATTAGATGGAACCTACAGATCAGAAAGTCAGAGGATCAAATAAGCAATTTGAAAGACAACGTAGGAGAAAACACCTAATATGAATGACAAAAAGAAAAAAGAAGGAGGATAGATTAATAAGCCTTTAGGAAAACATCAAGCACACCAACATTTGTATTACAGGGGTACCAGAAGAAGAAAAAGAGAGAGAAAGTAATAGATTGAAAACCTATTTGAAGAAATAATAACGAAAAAATTCCCTAAACTGGGGAAGGAAATAGACATACAAGTTCAAGAAGCACAGAGAGTCCAAACAAAATAAACCCAAAGAGGTCCACACCAAGATAAATTATAAAATATATACCAAAGGTTAAAGACAAAAAGAATTTTAAAAACAGCAAGAGAAAAGCAACTGGTTGCCTACAAGGGAGCTCCTATAAAACTGTCAGACGATTTCTTAACAGAAATTTTGCAGACCAGAAGGCACTGGCATGAAATATCTTAAGTGATTAAAAGCAAAGACCCACACTGAAGATTACTCTATCTAGCAAGGCTACCATTTAGAAGTAAAGGAAAAATAAAAAGCATCTCAGACAGGAAAAAAGCTAAAGGAGTTCACCACCAAACCAGTATTACAAGAAATGTTAAAGGAAATTCTTTAGGAAGAAAAAAGTAAAAGATTAAAAATATAAACAATAAAATGGCAATAACTACTTACCTATCAATAGTTACTTTAAATGTAAATGGGTTAAAGGTTCCAATCAAAATACATAGAGTAGCGGAATGACTAAGAAAACAAGACACATACATATGCTGCCTACATGAGATAGAAAGACATACACAGATAGAAAGACATACACAGATGGAAACTAAAGGGATTGAAATATTATTTTATGCAAATAGAAATTTAAAAAAAACCTGGGTAGTAATAGTTATATCAGACAAAACAGGCTGTAAAACAAAGGCTACGAGACAAGGACACTTCATCATGATAGAAGGATCCATCCATCAAGAGGATATAACCCTTGTAAACACTTATACACCCAACTAAGGATCACCTAAATGCATAAAGCAAATATTGGCAAACATAAAGGGAGAGCAGTAAGATAGTCATAGTAGATGACTTTACTTCCACATTGACATCAATGGATAGATCATCCAGACAGAAAATCAACCAAGGAACTGCAGTCTTATATAACACATTATACTGGATATTTTCAATTGATATTTTTAGAACATTTCACACCAGAGAAACAGAATATACATTCTTTTCAAGTGCATATGGAACATTTTCTAAGATAGATCATATTAGGTCAAAAAACTATCTCAGTAAATTTTAGAAGACAAAATTCATATCAAGCAACTTCTCAATTACAATGGTATATATATTTAGAAATCAATTACAAGGAAAAAAAACTGAAAAACACACAAACATTCGGAGGCTAAATAACATGCTACTAAGCAAAGAATGAGGTAACAGTGAGATCAAAGAGGAAATCAAAAGATACTTTGAGAGAAATTAAACACACACACAGACACACACACACACACACACACACACACATTGACCTGAAAATATACGGGAAGAAGCTTAAGCAGTTCTCAGAGGAAAATTCATAGCAATACAGGTTTATCTGGAAAAAAAAAAAGAAAGAAAAATCTCAAATAAATAATCCAACCATATGCCTAAAAGAAGGAACTAGAAAAGAAGAACAAAGTATGTTGAAAGAAAAAAAATAATAATAAACATCAGAATAGAAAGAAATGATATAGAGTCTAAATAAACAATACAAAAGATCGATAGGACCAAGAGCTGGTCCTCTGAAAAGGTAAGCAAAATTGATAAAATTTTTAACCAGACTCATCAAGAAAAAAGAGAGGAACGATATAAAAACAAAAGAGAACTGACAGCTGACTCCACAGAAAAACAAAGGATTACAGGAAAATACTACAAACAATTATATGCCAACAAATTTGGAAACCTGGAAGAAATGGATAAATTCTTAGAAATGAACGATTTTCCAAGACAGAAGTAAGAAGAAACAAAATCTGAACAGACGAATAACTATTAACAAAATCAAATTTGTAATGAAAACATGCCTAACAAACAAATGTCTTGGACCAAATGGCTTCACAGGTAAATTTTACCAACCATTTAAAGAAGAATTAATACCTATCCTTCTCAAACTATTCAAAATAAAATGAAGAGGACGGTAGGCTCCCAAGATCATTTTACAAGGTCAGCATTACCCTGACTCCAAAACCACACACACAAAAAAATTATAGGCCAACATTCCTGAAGATACAAGTAAACAAAAGCATATACCATGTTCACAGACAGAAAAAATTAACATCATTAAAATGTCCATACTACCCAAAGCAATCTATAGATTCAATGTAATCCCTATCTAAATACCAATGACATTTTTCACAGAACTAGGATAAATAATCCTAAAATTTATATGGAACCACAAAAGACCCTGAATAGCCACAGAAATCCTGAGAAAGAAGAACAAAGTCGAAGGTATCACAATACCTATTTCAAACTGTGCTGCAAGGCGATAGTAATTAAAACAGCATGGTGCTGGCATAAAAACAGACACATAGATCAATGAACCAGAACAGAAAGCCCAGAAATAATCCCACCTATATTGTCAATCTATGACAAAGGAGAAAGGACATTCAGGGAAAACTGAACGAACACATACAAAAGAATGAAACTAGATTACTTTCACCATAAACTCAAAATGGATTAAAAACTTAAACGTAAGACCCAAAACCATAAAACTCCTATAGTAAAACAAAGGCAGTATATTTTTTGGCATTGCTCTTATTAACATATTCTTAGATATATCTCCTTAGGCAATGACAACAAAAGAAAAATAAAGAAATAGTACTACATCGAACTAAAGAGTTTTTACACAGAAAAGAAAACCATCGACAAAACACAGACAATTTACTGAATGAGAGACAATATTTGCCAATGATATATTGATAAGGGGTTAATATCCAAAACATATTGGGAACTCATATAACTTAATACCAAAGAATCAATGTAATTTAAAAAATGGCCAGTGCACCTGAATAAACATTTCTTCAAAGAGGATATACAGATGGCCAATAGACATATGAAAAGATATTTCACATCACTAATAATCAGAGAAATGCATATTAAAACCACAATACCACCTCATACCTGTCAGAATGATTATTATCAATAAATCAACAAATGATGTATGTCAGAGAGGATGTGAAGAAAAGAGAACCCTCATGAAATGTTGAGGGGATTGTAAATTGGTTAATCTACTATGGAAAACAATATGAATTTTCTTCAGAAAAGTAAAAATAGAACTGCTATAAGACCCAGCAATTCCACTTCTAGGTATCTGAAGAACTCCAAAACACTAATTTGAAAAGACATATGTACCCATGTTTTTTGCAGAAGTATTTACAATAGCCAAGACATGGAAGCAACCTGTGTCCATCGACAGACAAATGGTTAAAGATGTGGTACATGTATACAATGGAATATTACTCAGCCACCAAAAAAAAAAAAAAAGAAATCTTGCCATTTGCAACAATATGGATGGACTTAAGTGAATTGAGTCAGACACGGAAAGACAAATACCATATGATTTCATATATATGCGGAATATAAAAAACAAAATAAACAAAACAGAAAGAAAATCATAAATGCCAAATGGTAGGGGGATTTGAGGGATGGGTCAAAAGGGAAAGAACTTATGATATACAAATTGCTGGTTATAAAAACATTCACATGGATATAAAGTACAACATAGGAAATATAGTCAATAATACTGTAATAACTGTGTGGTGTCAGATGGGTCAGACTTTGCGAAGTGATCACTTCCTAACTTATATAAATGTCTGATCACTATATTGTACACCTAAAACTAATTTAATATTATATGTCAACTGTAACAGAAAAAAAAAATTTTAAAGGAAACAGAAGTTATAAGTTTCACAGACAACATGGTTTGAAATTACTAGGACCCTAAGTATCAAGCTTACAAAAGAAAGATGGCGTGTTCTGCACTGATTTCCATTTGGTCTTGTTCTTTGGAGAGAACTAAGTAGCCATCAAAAGTTTGAACCCTGTACTCAGAGGCCAAAGCACCAATCTGCCTCTGCCACATAACTGTTGTGACAACTTTGTGAAGCTAATCAACTCTTGAATTTCATTTTTTTAATCTGTATAATGGGGGTAATTAATACCTACTTTATAGAATTAGATATGCATTAACATGAAATAATGTATGCCACGTATATAGCATAGTTCCTTGTACAAATTAATGGATATTATTATTTGTTGCCACGACTATAATTATATCATTTTAAATGATGAAGATGGATTTAGAAATGAGGTTCCACTTTATTTTCTGGAAATTCATAAAGAGATTCATAGTTTTACAATTTAATAATGCCATACCATGTCAGGGTTTCTCTTCTGTAATGAAACCCCACAAGAAATGTGGCCCAGATACTCTAGGGGCTAGACAGATAAGGAGTCCATCAAAGGTGACTGCAAGTGCAGGAGACTCCAGGATGCTCATTTCCTATTGCTAGTAAAGGTGCTCGAAGAATGACCAAGATAAAGTAAATAGCCAAATATATTGTAGATTAAATATTTTGTCTAATGTCCTTATAACATGTTGGAGAATAAAAGGGGCTGCATGTTCTATTTGTTCCACAAAGAGAAGTATGTTCTCTCTTTCAAGAACCTTTCTCTCAGTCCTTTTTTGAAAGAGATGTTTCATTCTCAACCTCCTATGGAAAAAAATAATTTCTAATTTGTTGAGATTTTGTGAGGGAAAATTTTACTTAGTAGATTGGGACAGAAGCATAATCATGCTTAAGATTTCTAACACACTTTTTACCCAAGGTCCACCAAACAGTTCAATCACATTTGAGGAAAGAAGAAAAATAGATATTTTCACTGTCTGTGGATATATTAAAAAATCAAACAGGCCCTCAGAGAATCTTTAGGAGAAATAAACCCAAGCTCACATCCTAGAGAGCTAGGAAAGAACCCAGCTAGCATCTTGGACTCACCACTTACATAAGACTTGTAATCCCACCTAAAACTGACCTGTGAAGAGAAGAGATCCTTTCAGCAGGTCTTTACCCATCACTTCTTTTTTCAGGAATGTAAACTCTTCCATCAAAAGTTCCACGTGTTCTTCATGCAAGACCTTCCCTATCATTATGAAAATGGAGTAAAAAAGGTAGTTATCATCAATTATATAACTGGGTATCCCAGAGTCTAAGTCTGTCTTCCTCTAGCACAGAAGGACATACAGACCTCGGAACCACTCTGGGCATCAGTACATCCTTATGCACCCCAGGTGTAGGTAGTACCAGTTCTAAGATTACAAGAGAAATGAAAATCTAAGAAAGCCAGATAGTATCCAATTTCCCCAAAGTCAAGATGAGATCAGGGAAGTGTCTGAGAGCCATCTGAGTGTTAGCTCCTGTTCTAGAGCCATCTGAGTGTTAGCGCCTGTTCTAGAGAAAAGGGGATAGTGTAGCATAAAAATCTAAGAAACATGAAGAAGAAAAGGGATTATTGGGATTGAAGGAGAAGTACTAAAATTAGACTCTTATTTCAAAGAATAGGAAGAACCAGATAACTTTTTAATATTATCCAGGTTTGAAAGAGGACAAAACCTTAATATTTATAAAAATATTTTGGATTCTAAAAGAAATTTGTTAGAGAACATTTTGACATTGCCAGATGGGAGGGGGATTGGGTGGTGAATGAGAAAATAGTCATCGGGATATAAAGTAAAGCATAAAGAATATAGCTAAAAATATTGTAATAACTGTGTATAGTGTCAGATGGGTACTAGATTTATCAGGGTGATCACTTCATAAGTAATAAAACGTCTAATCACTATGCTATATACCTGAAACTAATATACTGTTGTATGCCAACTGTAATTGAAAATTTTTAAATCTGTTAAAAATTTTTGATCAGGTGGCTTTTTCATATCTAGGCCAGAAGTTTCATAATTGACCAAACTATTTTGTGATTAAGTGCCAAGTGTGGTTATGATCTACACTTTCACACAGAGAGAAATCGGCCACTAGAAGATATTCCTGAGATAGCAGCCTTTGCTTAACACAGATTCACATAAAATACTGCAGAATATGCTGGGTTTGTTCTGCACATCACTGAGTAGGCAAAGACTGCATCCTGAATCTCTAGAGAGTTAGGTATGTGGGAGAGTGTGATCCCTTTCACCCATTCCCTAACCCATAAATGTTGCAAACAAAGCTTCTTACAATAAGCAGAAGTTCTCTCCTGTGGGTGATTTTGCCCATATGTGCATGCTTATGAGGGGAGGTTTGGCACCTGGGAAGTTGAACCATGCTTCAGAGCATGTTATATTCTCTCTAGCATTATTTCTATACTTCTATTTATGTATTTCCATATCCATGGTCATTAAAGCAACTTTATACATTTCAACTGCATCTTTTGTTGCTTTTCTATCATTCGCTCAATGCTCTATTGTGATACACTCATGCAACAACCAATGTATAGACATACATACACTCAAGCACACAAATTTATATACATATATTCCCATGACTCTTCAATAAAAGAATTTAGAAGCGGAGATACCTCAAAAGCAATGAGCACACCTAGTATACAAATCTTGGCATCAAAATATCATTTATTTCACCTTTGATGGGACTATAAATTGATACAGCCACTATGAAAAACAGTATGGAGTTTCCTCAAAAAACTAAACATAGAACTACCATATGATCCATCAATGCCACTTCTGTATATTTATCTGAAACAGGAACATTAATTCAAAAGATATATGCACCCCTATGTTCACTGCAGCTTTATTTACAGTAGACAAGACATGAAAACAACCTAAGTGTCCACTGATAGATAAGTAGATTTAAAAAAATGTGGTATACATACAATGAAATATTATTTAGCCATAAAAAAGGAAAGCTTGCCATTTGAGACAATATGGACCTTGAGGGCATTATGCTAAGTAAAGTAAGTCAGACAGAGAAAGACAAGTACTATGTGATCTCACCTATATATGAAATCTAATTAAAAAAAAAGGAACATAAAACCTCTTAGGTACAGAGAAGAGATGAGTGGTTGCCAGAGGTGGGGGGCTGAGAGATGGGCAAAATAGGTGAAGGTAGTCAAAAAGTACAATCTTCCAGTTTTAAAATAAATAAGACCTGGGATGTAATTATAGCGTAATGACTATAAATAGTACTGAACTGTATATTTGGAAGTTGCTAAGAGAGTAGGTCTTATGAGTTTTCATAACAAAGAATAAAACTGTAATTATGTGTAGTGCTAAATGTTAACTAGACTTATTGTAATGATCACTTCATAATATAAACAAATATCAAACCATTATATTGTATACCTCAAACAAATATACCTCAGTTTTAAAAAGAATGAATAAGAAAATACCATTCACCACCAAATAAGCTAGAGCTCCTTGAAATAATGGCTAATTGCAGGGCTGAGGCAGAGAAAGCATATCATAAACATAAACCATTTTATATCATAAAGCAAGGAATTGCCAGAGAATAATGGAAATATAACAAAATAACACAAAGAGCCAGCATGAAGAGGTCCTCATTGACCAAATATGAAAGAATTTGAACATCAAATAATGAAAATGAATATATAGTCCATTGAATTAAAAAAGGAAGCCATAAATTCATGCTAATATTAAGAAATTAATAATCAGAAAGTGTGATAAATAGTGGATATTTACCAACTTTCAAACTACCTCCTCACAACATAATCACTAATTACAAGGGGAAAAAAAAATAACTTTCATTGGAAAGCCTAGCAAGTATGTTCTCCCTTCCAAGAATCTTTCTCTCAGTCCTTTTTTGAAAGAGATGTTTCATTCTCAACCTCCTATGGAAAAAAATAATTTCTAATTTGTTGAGATTTTGTGAGGGAAAATTTTACTTAGTAGATTGGGACAGAAGCATAATCATGCTTAAGATTTCTAACACACTTTTTACCCAAGGTCCACCAAACAGTTCAATCACATTTGAGGAAAGAAGAAAAATAGATATTTTCACTGTCTGTGGATATATTAAAAAATCAAACAGGCCCTCAGAGAATCTTTAAGAGAAATAAACCCAAGCTCACATCCTAGAGAGCTAGGAAAGAACCCAGCTAGCATCTTGGACTCACCACTTACACAAGACTTGTAATCCCACCTAAAACTTCACCCACCACTGCTTTTTTTCAGGAATGTAAACTCTCCCATTAAATCTAATTTATTTGTTTAAAAGTCTACACTTTAACCAAATACTATCATAAGTAATGGACAAATTGAAATTGGATAGCACCTGATAGGACTCAACACAAAGAACACAAAACGACTTCTATATTTCTATGAAAAATGCATACCCCAAAAATAATCATAAAGAAACATCAAGCAAACACAAATTTAGGAACTTTCTACAAAATAACTGGCCTGTGATCTTTCTAAACACCAAGGAAAGACTGAGGAACTGTCCAGAGTAGAGGTTAAAAATGACATGCCGTCATGGACATGTACAATAGACTAGAGGTTACCAGAGGGAAGTGGGGAGGGGGAAGGTGGGAGGTAGATGGAGTAAAAGGGGTCAAATATGTGCTGACATATTTGAAAGAAATCTAATTATGGGAGGTGAAAGCACAATGTGTACATGTGTGTGTGTATATATTTATATATGTATACACATGTATGTGTGTATATATATATACACACACATATATATATGCCTTATTGTTAAAAACGTAACACTGAAACTACCAGATGTAGTTAACCAATGTCACCATAAAAAATAAATTTAAAAAATAAATAAAAATAACATCAATAAAATTTAAAAATGACATGCCAACTGAAAACTATATATGATTCTGAACTAAATCATTTTGCTATAAACACTGTTATTAGGAAAATTGGGAAAATGTGAATGGAGTCTGGAACTATGTTAATTTCCTCATAATTTTTCATTTTTTAAAATTGTAGAATAACTGACAAATATAATTGTAAATATTGAATGTGTATGACAGGTTGATTTTATATACAGATACATGTTGATTTGATACACATACACATTGTGAAATGATTACCAAGATCAAGATACTTAACACTATATTATCTCATATAGTTAATTACTTTTGTGTGTGTGAGGTGAGAATGCTTAAGGTCTACTCTCAGGAACTTTCGAGTATACACAACTGTCTTATTAACTATAATCACCATGATGTGCAATAGATTCTCAGAACTTATTCTTATAACTGACTTACATTGCCATATTCTCCCTTCTTTCTCAGCCCAGGTAAGTACCATTCTAATTTCTGTTTCAATGAGGTTTTTATTTGTTTGTTTTATGATTAGTGAGATCATGCAATATGCCTCTGTGTTTGGTTTATTTAACTTAACCTAATGTCTTCCAGGTTCGTCCATGTTGTTGTAAATGGCAAGATTTCCTTCTTTCTCATGATCAAATAATATCACATTGTATTAACATATGCCACATTTTCTTTATCCTTTCCTCCATCAAAGGACATTTAAGCTATTGTGTGAACAATGCTGCAATAAACACGAGGGTGCATATACCACTCCAATAAAATTATTTAAATTCCATTGGATATATATCTAGGAGTGGAATTGCTGGATCGTATAGCAGTTCTTTTTTAATTTTTTGAAGACCCACCATACTGTTCTCCATAGTGGCTGCATCAATTTGCATCCCCACCAACAGTGCACCAAGGTTCCCTTTTGTCCACATCATTGTCAACACTTGTCTTTTTTTATTTTTTGAAGCAAAATTTCCATTCCTTGATTTATCATTCATTTATTCATCCACCCATGCATTCGATTTATCAAATATTTTTGAGCATATTCAATGTACCCAGAACCATGCTAATTTCTCAACTTAACTGTATAAAAAGTTTTCAGCCTTCCAGGATAATTGTTTAATTTGTGAGCCCAATAAAGTCATCCATGCCTCTATTCTGTGATCTGCAGGAAATCCACTCAGTGTTTCTAATAACTGTGTGAGGGGGTACCTATGCCTGCTAGTGTCACTACTTTCTCTGAGCTCTAAGATGGCTTGGGCTCCCCATCATTTTCTCCTCCCTTCTCTATCTACTCCTGCTGCTATGGCTATCTGTACTCAGGTTTGCATCAAATTATA